GGCATGAACCGTAGTTTTGGAGGGGGGGCTCGATGCTTCCATTATATCCCCACCAATTTCCTACTGCTCTGGACGTGCATACCATGGTACTGTAGTACTAAGCAATTATCTCGGGAGCAAGCAACCAAGCAAGGCCGCAATCAAGGAGATCCACCAGCCCCAAGGCCCAGCCCAGCCATCATTTGAAAGAGTCTTCCGATGGACATCCAACACAAGAACCCAAAAGTCGACGATAAGCAGAGATTATATCTGACAGGTATTATAGTACTACCACTATGTACTATTCGGGCTGGCCTTCCAATCTGAGCCGAAACTGGAGTCTCCACCATATCTTTTGGGAGCTGTTCCCCATGCCGGGATGGAATATGCAGGTCGTCGTGGTGGCGTATGGTGGTGGTCACCGGTCGGGTCAACACGAGGCACCCTTTTTACACACACACACACACAAGTTTACACGGGGATAGATCTTGGACCCTTACGGCCTTCTAAGTGGACAACTGTGGAAATAAACGCCTCAAAGAAGAGGGGGGAGGGAAAAAGATGAAAGAACGTCTGCCCCCACGCGCACACACATTCTCCTCTATCTACCTCTGTCTGCCTGTTCTCCCCTGCCGCAGCTCTACGATCGCTTACAGTAGACTGGATCCTCCCCGTTCCAATCTGCAGCGTCTAGCATTCCCCAATCGAGCCCACATCTCCGCGATGACCGGCAGGCTCACCTGCATTTGCGAGCCTGTCAGTCATGCCCTGCCCTGCGACGTCTGACAGCCCGGCCAGCGGTACGGGTGGATGCACCAACCCACCCTGTTGATCAATATGGGTTTTGTTTGTTTTTTGTCAGCAATTTGAGATGACATCTGGTTGCGAGAGTTTGAAGACTTTCGCCAGGGTATATCCTATCCTGTCCTGTCCCATACCAGGGCCTTCAGAGGTTCCGGAGCATTTGGAACGGGAGCCGTCTCGAGTGGTTCATCTCTCTCTTCCAGATTGGTTCTCCCCTTTCCCACCACCACCACCCACCTGGCCAGGGCCTTGTTTGCCGAGGAAGAGCCCAAGGCTTTGTCATAGCAGTGGCAGTCGAACTCCGCCCGAGACGGGATACGGAGACGGAGGACAGATGGGGGGCCTGTCTTCTCCGGTCCACGACCGCTCGGCCGGAACTTCTCTCTCTTCTGAGAAGCCCTCAGTTGTTGACGTTGGTGTGGTGAGCAATATCGTCTGGGGCTAGGTTCACTCTCAGACGCTCCCATCCGTGACATATGTTTGAGGGTTGAAAGCATGGCTGACTCTTGAGGTCCAGGAAGCCTCCCGTCTCTCCCATCTCTCCCCCCTCCCTCTTGATCTTCCTCCCTCTTACTGCATATCGAAAATTGCACGGTAGTTCGGACCAGCGAATCGCCTCTCCCAGGCTGTGTATGTCGTGCCAGGCTCTGATTCGCTATGAAATTCCCATGATCGGTATGGTCTCCGGGGGGTTGGCAGCCACCACTTCCCGTGTGAGCTGTAGCTGCAGCAGGGCTTCATCTAGCCTATACAGTGAGTGCCGTTGCTAAAGAAGCTGACAATAGCACACCATCAGCGGGGCTGCTAACTATACTGCCTTGTGTCATGTCCCTGATACATGGCCAGATGGCCTGGTTAAGCTGAATGCAGCAAGTCCTCTCCAGTGGACCTCGCTAGCAGAGTCCCAGAATTTACAGGCCAGCCAGCCCACCCTCAACGGTCAAACCATGGCGCACGCCGCTGCTGACGCGGAGGACAACGAGCCGCCCCGATGTTTCGAAAGAGCCCGACATGTTAGCCCTTTTCGAGCACGACGACGTGCAGGCCAGCTAGTCCACCAATATCCCAGTCTATCAGAGATGGTTTGATCAGATCCCACGCACAATGAGGGCCCCTGAAGGAGGAAGAAGCAACTCAACCTCCCACTCTCACAAACATGGCCCTCCCACGCGTCCACAACAGACCGGGGCGGCGCGAACACTCCGGAACAAGAGCCAATCCTCTCGCTCACCAGGGGGTTTCTGTGTCACTGACAATCTCATCTCCTCCTCGAGCGTGTCGCCCCGCCAAGATACGGTCTACCACGGTAGCTACCCGCGAAAGGCGCCACGCGCCTGTGTAAGGGGTGGTGGTGGTGGTGGTGGTGGTGGATGGCTGCAAATGCATGCATGGGATCCGAACAGACCGTTCGTTGGCAGCCCTTCCCGAGTCGAGGGCCTTCAAGTTGTTCCCGTTGGGCTGAAGCCTGGCTGCCAAGGTCATCCCTTGCTATTTGGACTCGGAACCTGCAAGCTGCCGTGTGAGCAGTCTATCAAAGTCCACCCCCCAGGGCGGGGGGTAATCTCAGCATTGTGTGTATGGCTCGGGTGCTAGGCCGTCCGGATCTAGAGGAATACTTGTTGTAAGATCACCCCACACTCGTGGCCCCTTGATTTTGCCTGTCGGTGTCTGGTTGTGTCCTCTGTGTGAGAGCATCACCCGGTCGGAGGCGCAGATTCCCCTCGACTTGCTTATGGAAAATCGGATGGTAGTGGCGGTCTCGGGGGAAATAGGCCTCAAGGCGGCCAGTTCAAGAGATTGTGCCATTTCCAATGATCACCACAAATGTATTGCGCCCGGGTTGCAACGCCTCGCCACTATCGAGCCCTGTCCTCAGCTGAAATCTTTAGAGCCGCATATTTTAACCGGGGCTGGGGGAGTATGGCATGTCTGGCTTTCCAATGAGCGTGCTGCCGTATTTCAATTCTCCCGCGTCTTTCTCTCTCTCTCTCTCTCTCTCTCAGCCCAAGACGCGGTGTGTTGCTTCTGCTCGCTACTAGGGCCCTTGTGCTTGGTCATGCGGTGTGGCGGCTGCTGTGACACCTTGCTGTAACTCCCTTCTCATTTCCCCAACCTCCCATCTAAATTGCCATGCTAGAAACCCCCGGGAAGAGGCGCCCTCCGCCGGGGTTTTCTTTTGTTCATGAGATGCTGCACCTCAGTTCCAGAAGGGCTTCAGGTCGGAGAAAGGGTTACATTGTTGCCCAATGTTGTCTGCCCTGGATGCCTCAAAAGGCAAACGAGGTAGATCTCGGGTTGGCCGGGGGGGGGGGCGGGACAATAGACGTCGCCACCTCTTCAGCTGCACGACGAATCCTCCCGGTACGAGAAAAGTCTAAAGGCAACACTCAATGATTATCGCCTCCCCTAGAATGCCTATTCAGAAAAGGAAAAACCCTCGTCACCAACGACATCACTGTACGTGATCAGCAATTCCCCGTAGCAATTCCCCGTTCTATGAATAAAATTGGATCATCAGTGGCAAGACATTTCTATCCCCCAACCCAGCCAAGGGGAAGAAGAAGAAATACTGTAAAAGAACCAAAACCACGCGGCCAGCTGATCCACTTGGGCAGTGATCGTCATCAGCCCACCCACACCTCTCCTCACCTCAATCCGGTAAACAAGACAAAACCCAAAAGCCAAGCAAGGGTTCACAGCCAACCAAACCCTCGATCTCGGGGAAGAGGAAATCCCCGGAGTAGCACACAACAAGAGGAGGTAGTAGTAGTAGTAGTAGTAGTAGTAGTAGTAGTAGTAGAAGAAGAAGAAGAAGAAGAAGAAGAAAAAGAGAGAGACAAAAGAGATCGGCATCGTATGTGCTCGGAACATAGTGTGTATGTTTTGTATGTGCCTCCTGACATTATCGCTACCATGATTACATGGCGGCGAATTTTCCCAGGAACAACCTGCTGTACCTATAGTAGTAGTAGTGTGTACTATGACAGGTGGTGTGGTGGTGTGCTGAGCTGAAAATAGAATTTCGTATGTGACTGTACTTATGGTACTGCAGTAAACGTCTTATCTCCAAATCTTTGCAACCCCCTCATCCTTTCCTCCCCAGATCTACGCTCCATCCATTCATCTCGTTCGATTGAGCCCCCAGGTACCTCCTATTGGCCACTTGTATCTGTACAGTAAGAAGGCAAAATATGTCTAAGACCTGCAAACGCCCCCTTTCCCCCCCCCCCCCCTTGAACGCTATAGTTACGAAGAATCAGGCCCGGAGAAGCTTAAAAATCTCAACAATGTCTCAGCCTAGTGATGCAGGTACTGACCGTACTGTATGTGTGTAACATGTACTCCATGACCATCTTACCAACCCCCTCCCTCCCCTTCTGGCACATGGCGCGCGGGTGTGTGTGTGTGTGTGTTTCTGAAAAGTACTCGTGATACTCCTGTGTACGGCAGCTTAGGGAAAAGATCTACTACTGCAGCTGCTACTACTACTTACGAGCTACCAATGTCCCGGCTAGGGCTGGGTGGTGGCCAATGGATGGGATGTACATAACAACAATATGCGACGAGCCGCGCCTCCGAGGGGACTGGAAACAGTTCTCGTCGTCTCCTGTTGGTCGGTCGTCCCACTCTTCCGAGGGGCGGGACATGCCATGCCCATGCCCCATGCATGTCCTGATGCTACTGCGGACTATGGTATGATTTGTTCCGTGCTGGGTGTTTTAGAAAGGTCGGTGTCGAATGTAGAGAGGCCGCCACAGGAAATCCCATGAGGTCTAGGCTCACAGGCAGCAGCAGGACACTGGTGTGCACAAGAGGCAAAAAGATCGCTTGGGTTTCTTTTGAGATTGGGGACTCTCAGATGTGCCTGTGTAATGTTCGCCATTGTGCTTGGCCGCGTGGATCTTCAGGCACGACGTGACACCAGAGAGCATCATCTTGTGTGAATGAGGACATCTGAGCAAATTCGGCAGCTTGAAAGGGAAGACTGGTGGTACCTTGCCCTCTCGCCAATCGCCAGGGGAACTCGATCGTACACCGTATCTCTTCCCCCCTTGGGTATCATGAGAAAAAGAAAGAAGAAAAGAGAAGCCGCTTCCTCTCGCGTCATCTTGTGTAGATAAAAAGATCATCCGAACGCCATGGTACTGACAGATCCGCCGCCCAGGCCCCGTCTGCACAGAACATCGTATCTGAGGTTTGCCCTGCCTCATCATCCTCTAGGCACTGGCAGCCGCCAGTAACCTCTTCTTAATGCTGGCACACTTCGCAAAGTCCATCTTGCCGCCATCGGCCGGCATGTGCTCGCCACTGGCGATACACATGACCTTCATGCGTTCGTCGTACCTCAGCCCTGGCAGCAGCTTGGGCGTGATCAGGAAGTACTGCGATGTGTGCTCCTTGCAGGCAATCTCCACCATTCGCTCGTGCACCAGGCGCTCGTTTCGCGGGTCCATCCCCTGGTTGATCTCATCGACCACGCGGAAGGGCGCCTGCGCCATCGCCTGCAGGGACATAAGGTAGAAGATAGTCGACACGGCCCGCTCGCCACCAGATTGACGATGTTGATCGAGCTTTTGAAGGGTCTCGTTTTCTCTATGAACGCCCAAAATGTTAGTCGGCTACTACTTGCAATTTTCCAAGACAGGCCATGGTGCCCAAAGACGGCCGAAAGAAGTAATGACGAACCTGAATTTGACCTTGATCTCGATCGCCCATTTGTCAAAATCCTCGTCCTTGTGTACACCAACCTCACCAGCGCAGTTAATCTGCTCAAAATTGTAGGAAAACGCGTCATTGATCCTTCTGACGATCTCGTCCAACGAAGGCTCCCAGTTCTGTCGCTTCTCCTGGATTTCCTCTTTGAGCTTGTCCAGAGCCGCCTGTCTCTTCTCAATCTCGGCCTGCTGTCTCTTGATATCCTTTGCGCGTTTCTCAAAGTCGCGCAGTAGACCAGGGTCGGCATCATGGATGAGTTCGAGTTTGGAATTCTCCACCTGGATGTCCTCAGCAACGCCCTCGAGGGTCTTTCCCTCGGAGAACCGGACGAGGTAGTCTCTCCGCTCAATGTCCATCTCCCCATCAGTATCAGGGATGGTCAGAAGCTCTCTGATTGCGGTTTGCGCATTGCGGGCCTCGGCCTTGACTTCGTCCACCCGGCGAACAAGCTCTTCTAGCTTCTTCCTCTCTTCCTCGAGCTGTTGCACAATGCCCTTGTTCCGCTCCTTCAAGGCTTCCAAGTCCGAATTGGCTTCGATATGGCGGGTCTGGGCCGCAAGGACGGCCTGGCTCGCCTCACGAAGCGTCTTTAGTTGTTTCTGGTGCTCAAGAACGATCTTGGCCTTCTTGTGAGCCATTTTCTTGAATTTGGCATCGTACGATAACACCCTCTGTTTCGCTTGTTCCAGTTGCTCACGCAAACCCTCTAGATTCTTCTTTTCAATTTCTAGACTCTGGTCAGCAGTGCTTGTCTACAGCGATAACATGCTGCTTTGCCATACCGATCTTATCAGGGAGGGCTTTCCACATATTGAACGTCCGCTGGATCTCTCTTTTTTCGTCCTCCAGTTGTTTCTATACCACACACACAGGTTGTTCAGTCTTCTGGAAAATGCGACGAGGTTGTCAAAGGAAAGAGAGGGGGGGAGGGGGGGGGAGGGTTGGGAGAAGACACTCACTAGTCTCTTTTGCTCCTCCTTCGACTCGTTATCTATATCGGATTGTTGGGTTTTGACCTCATTAAACTGTTGCTTTAATTCCTCGAGTTCTCTCGCACAAACCTCGAGGTCTTGCTCGAGTTTGGTCCTAGCCGCTACGTCCAGAGGCTCGTCTCCCCAGAACCTTCCTGGGCGGATCGTGGTAGTCACCGTAGATGTGGCTCCTGGCCCATACTCTCTGCATCGCGTGGTCCGATGGTAGGTATTGCCGGTCGCAAAGGAGTTGATCACCTCACCGTCAGTAATTCTTTGGTACTGCTGCTCACTGATTTCCTTCAAAGCGAGCCCGGTAAGGTGGAGCTTCTTCTCGGAGCATAGCATGGCAAGCACCGGGTCTGGCCCCTCCAGATAGTCTATAGCGTAGCCATCCAAGCCCAGGCCCTGCAAGCCTTCGCGCGGCACAGGAGGCTTAAAGGCTGTCAAGTCGGCCATGATGGTGCGCACAGGAACCGCCAAGTTCATCTTCTTGAAGAATTGCTCGGTCAATTTCCCGTGGTCGGCTCTCGTCTGCGCAATAAAACAGAGGAAGTCATCTCTCTGCAGGCACATCTGTATGTGATTGGAGTACCGCCTGTCTTTCACCGAACAGGACAGCATCGGTGGCCCAAACACTTCCTTTTCAAACTCAGATTGGTGTTCCTGAAGCCATTGATAAGCCGTGGCGACTTCGCGATCGATACGCCGGAGTTGCACCAAGCGCTGTCCCTCTTGCGAGTTCAGGCTCTCGATTTCTTCCTGGATTGCCTTCACTTGTGTTCTCTTTGCCTTGCCCCGGTCAAGGATATCATTCCTGGTAGTATCAAGCTCTCGGAGCTTTTCCCAGAACTCATTTTTGATACGGTTCGTACATTCTCGCTGCGCACAGTTCAGCATGTATGTTTCTAGGAGCCCAAGTAACTCCTTCTGACAGGCGCAAAACCTACAATCTTGTGATTCCATTCTGCAGGGTTAAATTTAGCTTCGATGTCTCTGCCGTTCTTGTACTGGCCCTCGAGTTTGGTGATCTTGGTACGTTGTGCCGATACTGCTTGCCGATGAGTGACCATTGACCCTGCGTCGGCCGCCTTCTCAGCTTCGAGGAGTTTGGTGCTCTCTTCGACCTGCTGGACAGCCTCGAGGGCCTTGTCGGCAGCCTCTTCGGCTTGCATAAGTCGACGCCTTCGGGCTCTGAGCGCAACATCGATTTTGGCTTTGTATTCCTGCTTGAGGTTTACAGCCTCAAGAGATGGGGCGGACATTTCCTCGAGTCTACGTTGCTGTTGGCGGGCTCGCTTCCGCTGCTCCTTGATCTGCTCGAACAGGGCCTTCTTCTCGTTGTAGTGGACAATGAGACGGCTGTCTTGCAGATCTTTGATGACCCGTCGAATCTGTTCACGCTCCCTCAGGCGATCGACATCCCCCTGTAGCCCTTCTTGCCGGGTGTGCATGCTGCGAAGACTTTCCAGCTGCGTGTCGAGACTGTGCTGGGACTCCTTCTGCTGACCAAAAAGAGTTCGGAGCTCTTCTTGCTGCTTGATGACCTCTTCCGGGGCGGCTGCCTGCAGGGTCCTGGTAAGGAGGTCGACGGGGTTCAGTCCGGCGAACTCAGCAACCCGGTCCTGTGGTAGAAATTGGCAGAGGTTATCGATCTGTATGCGTAATTCTTTCATCCGCAGTTTCACATCTGCCAGCTTGCAAGGGTGGCCGTTCAGCCAGAATTGTCTGGTATTGTCCTCGCGGTTGATCTGCAGCCTGAAGACGTAGTTCTTGCGATCCTGGGGTCGCCTCTGCAGCTCGACCTCCACAATTGCATGTTCCTTGCCGTGCTTGACGAAATCTCCAAAGCTCGTCGAGCGGCCCAGAGTGCTGGCGGGGAAAGCCAGCCCAAGACATATGGCACAGACGAGCGAGCTCTTTCCGGTACCATTGGGACCGATGACCATGTTCAGATTCGGCCCGGGGAGGAATTCTGCTTTCTCGTAGGTGACAAAGTTCTCGACCATGACGCGGACAATGGCGCCGGGGGCAAAATCGGGTGTAGACGAGCCGTTAATCGTGCTATGTCCGTTTGTGCGATGTGAGGAAATGCTAGCTGCGGTAAAGGAGCGGAATTCATCGCCCGTGTCTTCATCTTCCAGCTCTTCGTCATCTTCTGTCTCGAGGTGAGCCGGCGCGCCCCTGCCTCCCCTCAGCCGCATTCTCTTGGACCCGTCTGACGCGGTCGGAGGCAAAGAATCGCTATCGCCGTACCTGGCGACGTCAGCCTCGTCTTCGCTTTCGATGTGCGACCGCCGCCACCGCCGCCGCCTGGCTTCTGTGCCGGACATTGTGCGCAGTCGGTGAGAACTCCGTTTTTTTTTGGTGGGAAAATCGAAGGGATCTGTCTAGATAGGTCGAATGCACCGAACGAGGGAATCAGCAGGAGGAGGTTGCGTATAATTGATAAGGCTGCCCAAGATGGGACGTTGCGAGATACAGAGAGAAGAGCGCGAGGACGCGGTCGACGCGTCGTTTTGACAGGGTACTTTAGTTATTGACTTAGTACTCTTGGTACTGCCTGAGCCAGCGGAGGGGCAGGAGGGTAGTAGGTAGGTGCCGGAAACCCCTTGTAAGCTGCCACAAATGTGCTGACTCAGCCAACTGGGGTTAAGTTGACTACACAGACTTAGAAGGGATCAACCTGACGATAACCTCCATTCTTCTTCAGAAACAAAATCACTGCACCCTCTCACGACATGAAACAAACTTTTGGAGAAAAATTTTTTTTGAAAGGAAACTCATTCATCATCTCGAGACATGGTACACACTTCCTCATAATCACTCTTTATTGGTAGCTGCTTGCTTTCAAGGTTAAAGAGGCATGCAATGGAATTTGCCATGATACTGAAACTCAACACCAATGTTGCTTTTTGGTTGATTTGGAAGGCTTTTGATGCAGAGAAAGACGTCATGTCTCCACCATATTCAAGTTCTTCTTAGTGGACAAGAATGCTTGTGGGTATGGCAGTCTCTTCGTGTCATTGAACCTGCCTGCAATCTGGAAGTTGTGCTCTGCCAGGCTCTCTACCGGACCAGACTCATGAGGACACAGTATACAGGTCTGCAAACACCTCTCTGCAACTGCAATCTACAAAGGCTTTCTTCAACCTAAGGTAACATGTTGACTTGGCAGGAAGCCTAGAGTCTTGCTTGGCAAAGTGTCGTGGAAATGTTTAGGAAGGGAGGGAAGGAGGCTAGCTGGCAACGATTTGATGCATGTGAAGCAGCTGTCACTGGGATTTATCATATGACATGATCAAAGTCCTGCAGCTCCTTCAAACCCTCCAGCCTGCTATTTGGGACCTTGAGTATACGACTTCATGAACTCGGATGTTGATAACCCTTGCAAGGAGCTGGGAAGGAGCTCCGTGAAGGACAGGCAGGCAGCCTTCACTGCACCTGATTCTCACCCAGCAACCCTGAAAATCAGACCTCGGTCTATCTATTGGTTTCATCCATCCTGAATTTCTTTATGCTCTGCTCAACTGTCTACCAGCCAACACTTTGAAGCTTCTTCCCTGTTTTGACTCTGCAACTTTCCCACCTCAAGACGTGTCTCGGCATCAGGTTGAGAGATTGGCCGTCATATTTTTTTGGTTGTCAATTTTTTTTTATTGACAAATTGCTTCAGGTTTCGGCTTTCTATTGGTGTCTAGAGTTCCTAGTCGCCCTCAGAAAGTCACCAGACCTCAACCGCGTCCAACCTCAGACACAACAACATTCCAATCCCCCACCCCACCCCACACCACCTTCACGTCCAACACCACATCTCCACGACTTTTTCTAGCCACAATCTGCTGTGCAGCACTGTTTACGTGACAAGATTCACTCCAATCCCCCCAGCCCTAACTTCCACTCATTCTTGCTCATCTGAAGTTTCACTTCCTGAAATCGTCTTCTTTTCAAGTCGACTGCTCCACTGATCCATCCAAGGCTGGTGCTCCAGCCAGCCCAGTTCTTGACCTCCGGCTCTTCTCCTTCAACGTTGTTTACTTCACACAAAACACGTGTGCTATGTGTTGAGGACTGTTAGCAACATCGCCGCCCTTGAAGAAGCTTCACCATGGACGTGCACAATCAGCACTCTGTCCAAGGCTCTTCCTCTCGTGTTCCTCTAGGCGAGAATCCAAAGTATGCAAACAGCGTGCCTTCTGGAGGTCGCCCACCTCAACAACTCAACAGTGTTTACGAGACTGAGTCCAAGGAAAACTTTCTCGTCCCTGCTGAGAATGTGAAGGCCTCTCGAAAGCCGAAGCAATCGGCAAGGAACACGTCTCGACCCCCCGTCGACCCCCGTCTGTCGTCCGTCCTCTCTCAGGCGTCGCAAAGTCACAATGCCTCGAACCGTAACTCCCAAGTCTCGACCGTGTCCGACTCGACTGTGAACTCGGCCGAGAGCAGGCTGAAGTCGTATATTGGACCATGGCAACTGGGCAAGACCCTGGGCAAGGGCTCGTCGGCACGCGTGCGCCTGGCTCGCCACCGTGTCACCCACCAGTCCGTCGCCGTCAAGATCATCTCGAAGAAGACGGCTTATCTATCCCAGGCAGGCAGCATCGCCCAGCTGGACCGACTGGAGAAGCACTCCCCAGCTGAGGAGGATGGCGTCCGCCGCTTACCTGTAACGGTCGAGCGAGAGATCGCCATCATGAAGCTCATTGAGCACCCAAATATCATCCAGATTCTGGATGTGTGGGAGAATCGCAACGAGATGTAACCTCCCCTCTTCCTTTCCGTTTCCCTCCTCCTTCTCTCTCTATCTAGGTTTTCGGCGTTTACTAAACCACTTGTTCTGACAGTTACCTTATTCTCGAGTACTGCGAGTCGAGCGACATGTTCTCCTGGATCAACAAGTATGGACCTCTGAGCGAGCACGATACCGTCTATGTTTTCCGGCAGATGATGTGCGCCATGGAGTACTGCCACTCTTTCAACATCTGTCATCGCGACCTGAAGCCCGAGAACATCCTCCTGTCGGATGATGGCGAGGTCAAGATCATCGACTTCGGCATGGCCGCTCTTCACCAGAATGACCAGAACCTGCGCACCGCCTGTGGCAGTCCTCACTATGCTGCGCCCGAGCTCCTCAAGTCCAAGACCTACCGCGGCGACAAGGCCGATGTCTGGAGCATGGGGGTGATCTTGTACGCCATGCTGGCTCAGCGGCTTCCGTTCGACGATCCACATCTTCCAACGATACTGTCGCTGTCGAAGAGGGCCATCTATACGATGCCGGACGAGCTCAGCCGCGACGCCAAGGACATGATCCGACGCATCTTGGTCACCGACCCGGACAAGCGCATCTCGATCGTCGAAATGTGGGACCACCCCCTGATCAAGAAGTACGATGGCAAGCCAGGCTTTGAGAAGCACAAGAAGCAGCCAGTCGATATGCAGGCGAGATCGACAAACGCCCTGCTCAGCCCTCGCGACATCGATCCCCAGATCCTGCGCCAGCTACGGGCTATGTGGCACTCGTCTGATATCAAGGAGATCAAGGCTAAGCTCACCAGCAAGGGACCCAACGAACAGAAGGTGTTCTATCATCTCCTCTTGGCACGCCGCGAACGCTTGCTGGAGAACTACGACCCAGAGTTGACACACTCTTCTAGCGACTACCACCACCTTCTGCGACCCAAAGCCTGGGCCACGCGGGTCTCGACTCGCGACTTCCACAAGCACGGACGCACGCCATCCCGATTCACCGTCATCTCAACCATTGCCGATACAGAGGCCGGAGGTACAGTGCGTAGCTATGACCCTTATCATGCCTCGCGCGACCTGGCGCCCGTGCAGGCTAGCCACGCGAAGATTACTATTCACCGCGGCAAGCTGGAGCCAGGTGCCGCAAGAAGTGTCGCGTCGGGGTCTGTGCCTTCCAGAGTGGGAACGGGAGCACCTTCACGCGTGTCGAGACGGATGAATTCATCCCTTCGTGCCCGCACCGTGAGCTATGCCCAGTCACAACCCAGCTCCATGAGTTCCATCCGCAGTAGTCGCCATGGCACCTCCAGTGTGCTCGTCAAGCAGCGAAACAAGCGTGGTGTGGACTTTTCCAGTGTTCGAAAGGGGGTTGCTGCACAGGGATCTCAGAGGCGTCGGGGCGTCGATGCGAGGATCATTGTCTCTGCTAGCATCGCCGGCGACCAGACCACTTATGGTAGGGACAACACCTCACCGCAGAGCCCTTGCAACAAGAAGATTAAGCAAGAGGACACGGATTCTGAAGACGCGCTCAACATTCTTCACTCCATAGAGCCTGTCTTCGACGAGGAGATGATCCGTTTCAGCCACAGTATCGCCAAAGACTGCGACGATGCCTTTGGGAGCTCGCTGATCGGCTCGCCCTCTGACACGGGAGCCAGAAACATCCGATCGAGTTTGACTCCGTTCAGCATTGACTTTGATCCTCCTTCGATCCAGAGGACTCCTGAGCCGGTCTACAACGCCGTCAGACCTTGGGATTCGCGACCACTGCCTCCGACGCCCCCGAACGAACTGACCCCGAGCCCCCCGCGACTAAAATCGACAAGAGTTGACGCATCCTCCCGGTACGATGCCGACAGCGCTTTGAGCGTGGCTCCTCTGAAACTCCCATCTACAAGCCAGCGACGAACGGCATCCGCTCCTCTCTACGCGACTCATCAGGCCCGCGACGCGACACCCCTGCCGTCCATCTTTGAGAATTCTTCAGACGCCTTCAATGGCCAGCCTCGGATTGTATCAGCACCCACGCCAAGCATGGCAGGGGCTTTGCCCACTCCAAATGACAACAAGAACCTCGACTTCCTGGCTAGGGCCGAGCAGACAATTCGCCTTGTGGAGTCGCCCACTGCGAGGAAGGCAGCCCCATCGTCTCTTGTCCCGGCCCCTCTGAACGTGCGCAAGAAAGCCTCACGCGACGGTACTGATCCTATAGGTCTTCGCCAGGTGTCTCGGGATGAGCAAATTCCAAAGAAGAAACAAAGCTTTCACAACCACCAGCTCAAGGATCTCCCTGAGGAGCCTGCTAAGTGTGGTAAATCCAGCAGCAACGGCTCGTCTCTAGGTCGAAAGAAGACGCTCTCGTCCTGGTTCCGCCGCGCTTCGAAGACAAGCTCCAAAGGCGATGTGTCGGAGAAGGTTGATACCTCCACGGTGGATGAGGATAAGAACCAGGAGATGCCTGCACCTAGGCCCCCACAGAGATTCTGTTCGACGTCTACCGACGCGGCGCCGCCCGTCGCGGTTATGCAGCCATCCAAGAAGAAGAGCCTCATGTTTTGGAAGAGCGGTTCTAAGAGTGACCATCGCATGTCCATCGCGGGTAAGCAACGGGGTGTTGATGTTCATGGCTTGTGCGCGCACGCCCTTTCTAAGATTTCTGGATGCACTGACCACTTTACTTTTTAATATTTGAAGTCGCAGGTGTGGAACGTGAGAGTGACTCTTCCAGTCCCGATCCAGAGCGTGTGCTAGCTCGTGCCGGCACCACGACGCATCACGGCGAAGACAACCACAGCGCCAACGCACGTAAGATCGAGCCGCAGCAGAACTGGCTGGCGCGGCTGTTCCGAGTGAAGCCAGCGATGCGGTACCTCTGCCTACAGATGTCTTGCCGCCGTGCCCGGCAGGAGGTTACGATCCTGCTGCGGGAGTGGCGCAAGTGGGGTATGCGGGATGTCGAGGTTGACAAGGACCGCAACATCGTGTTTGCACGAGTGGGCAAGAAGAACTGTAAGTCAAGATACATGTTCCATGACACGACGGTCGGGATTACGAGCTGACAGACACACTCTCTCCCTGTTTCCCCCTGAGCAGTCCTCCACATCAAGGAAGTTCACTTCGCCGTCGAAATCATCACGGTGATTGAGCATGGCAGGCGCAACCACCTCAGCATTATCCGCTTCACGCAGGAGAAAGGAGCCGCCAGCAGCTTCCACAAGGTTGTGGATACGATGAACAGCGTCTTCTCCAGCCGCAACATCCTGGTTCAGGATGGTCGCAAAGCCAAGATGATGATCAAGACGCTCAACTCCTAGCCGGAGATCTTGTGGTCGTCATCTGGGTAGGAAACTGAGAGTGACCCCTCGACTTCCTCGCAGTCGAAATGGGAAATGGGCGTACTGTGCGGTTTGATGCGGCCTCTTGTTGCTGCAAGCTGGTAATAACGCCCTCTTCCCAATTCAATTGTGTGTTGAAACAACAACACCTTCCTTGAAGCAGACCATTTCGAAGGGATCTTCCAGGAAAAGTTGGTTGATTTGACATTCGCCTCTCCCTTTTCTCTTACCCTCGCGTAACAACCACTGAAGAACAATATCACCCAAAAAAAAAAAAAAAAATCACTCAGTGCAGGGGAACCAAAGCTCAATTTTGAGTAGCAGCCTCAATTACTGGCTACTTATTGTTGAGGAAAAGGTATTGGGCCGGAGAGGATGGGTGCGAGTTGGATGATGTCTTTGCGGCAAACTTGACATAAATTATTTCTTTCTACTTTTAAGAACAATAATACAATTGAGCGAGTGGGATGGACGGGTCATCGTGATAGGGCTGGCGGTGGCTAATGAATGGCACAGACACGGTCGGGCAAGAATGACCCTGGTCTTTGGCTCTCTTTACAGCAGCATCGCATGGCTCAGAGCTATCTCATAGCAAGAGCTGTCCAGTATTGGACACTGAGTTTCTGTGGAAGATGGCTGGCATTGTTTCTATACGTTTACTGGTGCTGGGTTCATGTTTTACAGAGGAGGAGGGGAATGGGAGAGCAGATCAGAGACTTGCTCAGTAATGAACCTGTGCTGAAAGAAATATGCCTTGTTCAAGGGGTTGCATACCCTTCAACTTAGGCTACCTGAGAACGAACAAACTAGCTTGCGCCAGTGATAGACACAGGACTGGTATGTAAAGAACAAGAACAATTTTATCATTAGTCAGACCAAAGACGACACACGCGACGATGCCGATAATTGCTTGCTGTTCCGAACGGAGGAGAGTCGGGTGTGGCCGTAACTTTTACCACGATATAGTGGAGGAAGCCGCCAGTCGGAGAATACCGGCAAATGCTATCGACCTCGGCTCAGCTGCCAGAGGCAACTCGGTAGATCGGAGGTCAAGTGGGTCCTTCCCATTCGTGGCCCCGTTTGTAGCTGTACATTATGTATTACGTCTATTAAGTGAATCTACTGGATACTTTCTGACAGCTGATACTGTTCCTCCTTGCCGAGATACGATATCGGCTTCAAAAATCTGGGGGAAAGAGATGTGGGGCTCCTGCGATGAGGTTCAGTCAGTAATGGATTTGTGACAAATGTTTGGTGGTGGTCGATGTTTACCAATTGAAATCTGATTTTTTCTTCTGTTCCTTTTCATCTTTCTTGACTGTGGTACTTATTACAGTAGTATTAATAGAAGAGGGGGCGAAAGAGTACTTCATATTGTAAAGTCTGGTTGGAACTTTCTCCCCTCGTCCGGTTATGACCTCACCACACTCAACCCCACTATCCACTGGCTGCATGCACTGTAAGTTCCTTCTGGGCGGGCGGCCTTGACCCTTCCTCACATGTCAAATGCAGGGGGACTGCAAGAACCACCCCTCCCCTGTCAAGGCGGCACAGACACGCTGCAGAGAAGAGACATACTAAGGAAACTACGACCAGAGCAGGTAACAACCACGGGCTGGGCAGTTTCCTCTTTTTGTTTTGTTAGAACGAACCCCAGGTCCCTTTCACAAGCGCGTCATCACCCACCAGTGCCACCCCTCCCTGGTCCAACCCGCGGCTAAGGTTTTGCTGGGGCTGAGGGGAAAGGGAGACAAGGACCTCCTCTTACCCGAAGAATACCGAACGATCGTTCCGGGGTAAAGGTAAGATTCAGGTTCACACGCAGAGTCATAGGGGCGTGTGTGTTCGTGTGTGTGAGTTGTACCTTGGTTGGCCCTTGCTTGGTTTCTTGGTGTATTCGCCATTGGATTGACTGATATATTGGACGTGGGCTAGTCTTTCGGTTGAAGGAGGACAAGATCGGGTGAATCTTCCTCTCATTTATTTTATTCGTTGTAAGAGGAATCCATCCAGAGAGAGAGAAAAGGAGGGGAAAGGTCGATCAACCTCCTATTATAATCTTTTTGTAAGTGCTCTCTTCTCTCTCTTCTTATTCTTATGTCTTTGTGTACTCTCGGCTGGTGAAGTGGGATTCTTTCTGACCTGACGTGTGGTGCCTTCTAGATACTTATTCATACTCACGACACCACATTGGAGTAGCAACAAGGGTGTTCCTAAGTGTGGACACAGCATTTCTTCCACCAACCATCCGTACCCACGAAGAAGAACGACTTGGGAAGACATACCTACTTGGTAGAGAAACCAAGCTTGGGGGCAATCTGACACGCGCGAGAGGAGAGACAGACGGACGCTGTTGCAGCCCACTGATTCATCCACCCACCCGACCATTCTATCTCACAAACGACGACAACGACGACAATTACAGGCCATGGCCTCCACCGATACCATTCTGCAGGGCGTCAGCATCCTCGGCGCCGTCCAGGAGGAGCACCGCAAGATCCTGACCCCCCAGGCCGTCGCCTTCCTGGCCCTGCTGCACCGCTCCTTCAACGGCACGCGCAAGCAGCTGCTGGAGCACCGCAAGATCCGCCAAGCTGAGCTGGACAAGGGCGTTCTCCCAGATTTCCTGCCCGAAACTAAGCACATCCGCGATAATGCCACCTGGAAGGGTGCACCACCGGCACCGGGGCTGGTGGACCGCCGTGTCGAGATCACAGGCCCGACGGATCGCAAGATGGTTGTGAACGCATTGAACTCGGATGTCTGGACCTATATGGCTGATTTTGAGGGTGAGTCACCTTGCACTGATATATAACACCTCTTAGAAGGGGATGGGGGGGAACTCCATGGAACATTTGAAGAGACGCAGGGGCTGACCAAAACCAACCGTTGCCTGTGCACACAACAGACTCCTCCGCGCCGACATGGGAGAATATGATCAACGGCCAGGTCAACCTGTATGATGCCAACCGGAGACAGGTGGACTTCAAGCAAGGCAGCAAGGAGTACAAGCTGCGCACGGACCGGACGCTTCCCACACTCATTGTTCGCCCTCGTGGTTGGCACCTCGACGAGAAGCACGTCACGGTGGACGGCGAGCCCATATCGGGATCACTCTTCGACTTTGGCCTGTACTTTTACCACAATGCCTTCCAGCTGGTGAAGCTGGGCTTCGGCCCTTACTTTTACCTGCCTAAGATGGAGTCGCATCTCGAGGCGCGGCTGTGGAACGACGTCTTCAACCTAGCACAGGACTATATCGGCATGCCCCGCGGCACCATCCGCGGCACGGTACTGATCGAGACCATCCTGGCCGCCTTTGAGATGGACGAGATCATCTACGAGCTGCGCGATCACTCGAGCGGGCTCAACTGCGGCCGCTGGGACTACATCTTCAGTGTCATCAAGAAATTCCGCCAGAACAGCAACTTTGTCCTTCCCGATCGCAGCGCCGTCACCATGACCGTCCCATTTATGGATGCATATGTCAAACTGCTCATCCAGACCTGCCACAAGCGCGGAGTACACGCCATGGGCGGTATGGCCGCCCAGATCCCCATCAAGGACGACAAGGCGGCCAATGATAAGGCCATGGATGGTGTGCGGGCTGATAAGCTGCGGGAGGTGCACGCAGGACATGATGGGTGAGTTTCTGACATCGTATGGATGGATAATGGGTGAATGGTTGATGGGACAGCTGTCACTAACCAGGAACATTTGGTGTCATAGAACTTGGGTCGCCCATCCTGCCCTGGCACCTATCGCCACCGAGATCTTCAACAAGAACATGCCGACGCCCAACCAGCTCTTCAATCGCCGCGAGGACGTCAGCATCGGACAGAACGACCTGCTGAACATGAATGTACCAGGAAAGATCACCGAGGAGGGCATCCGCAAGAACCTCAACATTGGTCTCGGCTATATGGAGGCCTGGGTCAGGGGCGTCGGATGTGTCCCCATCAACTATCTCATGTGAGCAGCTGGCTTGATTTGAGTTTTCTCCTGCTCCTTTCTTTGCCCCCCCCCCCCCCAAAAAAAAACCCACGCGCGACAAACACAAACACACCTTGACCCCACTCCACCCACTCACCTACCCATCCCTTTTCTTTGTGCTTGACCTCGTACGCACAGTTAGCTGACCACGCGAGACAGGGAGGACGCTGCGACGGCTGAGGTGTCTCGGAGCCAGCTCTGGCAGTGGGTCCGCCACGGCGTGACCACCGCCGAGGGCAAGCGCGTCGACAAGGCCTACGCGCTCAAGCTTCTCAAGGAGCAGGCCGACGAGCTTGCCAAGAAGGCTGGCCAGGGCAACAAGTTCCACCTGGCTGCACAGTACTTCTCGGGCCAGGTGACGGGCGAGGACTATGCCGACTTTTTGACTTCGTAAGTCACCAACGGTCGAAGAAGAAAAAAGTTGAAGCGCTAATTCATTGTGTTCGCTGCAGATTGCTTTATAACGAAATCACTACCGTGGGGAACGCCGCGCCTGCGTCAAAGCTGTGAGCCGTCCAAGGGACACGAAACGAACCCTCTTGAAAGCCACTGAAACGAGGATCTGCCGGCGTGGCTTTTTTTCCTTGACGGTTTCCTCCCCGATATGTGGTTCTCTGATTTAGCATTATTGTACTGTACAATCATTCCAAGCCATATTCGTCATGATGTGTTGTGAAGGGGGTGTGTAATTGTGTGTGTATGTGCCGAGAAACGGGAGGGAAGCCAAAGAGAAACAGAATGACAATTACTTTTTTTTTTTCCTGTCTTTTTCTTCCCCAAAGGAAAAACCAACAAAAAGACTTCACTACTGAAAGATTGAGTCTGAACTGGGATGTGTCGTGAAGATGTCGACCTAGTCAACACCACCACCAGCGGAAGACAGTATTTGAGAAACCAACCCTCCCCCTTCCTTCTCAATCGCCACTTTTGTCTCATCGACAGACTGCATGTAACTGCACATGTGACTGGACCAGCCAAGGATGTACTGAACTGTAAAATAGGTCGGCAGGCGAAAAATAGCCCTGACTCTTACGGGCACATCCAAGCGGCAGGAGAAGAAGGAGGAGAAGCAGAAGAGCTTGAGAACGACGTATCAAGAAAGGAAAGAAGAAAAAAAGCAAGTCCTTGACCTAATTGCTACTGCTGCTGTTCACACACATCTGATGACGTCGAGAGGGGCGAGAGAGAGAACCCACCAGCTCCTATCCAAGCAGACAACAGTCACAGAATTGATTCATTCTGATTACTGGGTATGTCACAGGGGGACAGCACGAGAGAACCTGTCAAGGGGGAGACAAAAGTATGGGAGCATCGTGACAAATGGACGAAAAGAAAAAAGAAGGAGGGGTTCATTTCCGTGCCTCGAGTTAATTGTTTCTTGCCCCTGTGGTTCGAGAAGTGGCAACAGACGTGTGAAAGAGGGCCGACCTGCTCTTAGCTTGTCAAACAGAATTGGGAAATGCTTCGAGGGAGACGTGATTGAGGAATCTCATGCTACGTCGTAAAGCTCTGTCTTTCCACGAATCCCCAAGTCTCTCTTATCCCTCTCTACGACTCGTGTATGGATGGGTCATTCTTTTCTCTGCAGCCTTTCATCCACCTTCATGAGCAGGCATTGGGCATCCACGGAGTACTGCCAAGTGTAATCAAATTGACCCATTATTGCTCATCTGTACTTCTGTAGAGGTCCCCGTGTATCAGGCCATAGATGCAAATTGCAATACTCTTCCGAGAAAGTAATCAAGGCAACGTAGTATGGCCTGACTCCCCAGCCCTCCTCCATCCTTCCACACACTCTCTTTGTCTCTTTTCTTTCTCACGCCTTCCTTGTCACATTCGCCTCCGCAAGGGAAGCCAATCAATCCAGCCATCAACTGACTTAATCCGCACCAACGGGGGAGTCGCCACTGCTAGGATAGTGATCGATAGATCAGCGGTTGAACGTCACTAGAGCTCTGCTCAGCAAGGGGACGATGGCCAGACAACCCTGCCTGGGATGTGACGGCGAGGGGAAACCCCACCAGGACTGTGTTGACTCCTTCGGTTTATTCCGTTGAAATAAGGACATGGAAGAATGAGAGAGGGAGAAAGGGGAAAAGGTTGTGTGTGTTGGGGGGGGGGGGGGGGAGGGTAAGACCACAGTATACTGGAACAGGAAACCGGCATACAGCTCTACGAATACAGCTTAGTTAGAGTAATGAAGCAATGCAAAGAGCCATGTGCATGCCTTCATTGTGTGTGCTTGTGCTGACATAGAGGACAAATCTATGGCTGGCCAACGACAAAAAATAAGCCACTTTTCCGGAGTTTCACGCGGCGAAGAACAGTAACTCACTCGCCGCCACCACCACTTGAAGCAGGAAGCAAAGAGGAACCCCTTCAGCTCAACAACCCTTCCTTCTCAGATGAGAGCCTCCTACTTGCCTTTCTCTCCCTCTCTCCCTCCCTCCCTCCCTCCCTCTCTCTCTTTCTCTCCTCCTGCCCTTGCAGCTCTTTGCATCATTGATGTGCCCTCGAGATGATGCGGAGAACAGGGCGAAGGAGAAAAGAAAAGAAGAAAGGAGAAAAGCAAATATCGGGGCGAACACGTCCACCTGACACGCAGCTTGCAGGGACATCCCGTCTATATCTCTCTTCTACTTCTTCTCTCTCTCTCTCTCTCGGAAGGTGATTGGCATGACTTAGCATACCATAAGAAGTGGCGTTTTGCCCTGCGCGCTTGGGGAAGGATGGTGGGCTGGGAATTGAAGGAGGGGGGGAAGGGGGAGGGGGAGGGAGAGAGAGAGAGAGAGAGAAAGGGCCGGGACGCATCGTCACGGGCGATTTGTCCCGTCCCGTCTCCATAGTTAGGAGAGACATTATAGGAAGAGGGATAATTCAGATAGTCAGGTTCACAGCAGGAACTTGCATGCATGCATTACATCGCTAGCTTCCGTGAACCGTGCGTCCAGTCCGTCCAGGCGCTTTTCCAGGCCGATCCTGCGATGTCTGGGACGCCCCTTCCCCCTCCCCCCCTTTCCTCTCTCTTCTTCTCCTCCTTCCTCTCTCGAAACCCTTGCTTTCTCTCCTCTCTTTCTACCCAGCTATCTGGTCGGCCGGCCGTCCCCGAGCCGTGTTTTGGATGACGGTATTCATGCTAGATCCTAGTGTATAGTGTAGAAGAAGTAAGTTCCCCCCCCCCCCCCCAATAGTAAAGACATCATCTTGCGTGCTTGAGAGAAGGAGAAGAACGACTCCAGCCGCAGCTGTGGCAGCTGCTGCTGTGTGGTGGGTCACATACAAGACACAGGCTGGGGGGCAGGGACGGCCCAAGTTAGTTCAGTCGGTCGGTGTGACTTTCTGCTACTCATGGGATTTTCCCTTTCGTGCACCAAGGCCCGGCAGCAATAATTCAATCACATGACCTCGAAGGAGAAAAAGAATAGGAGGGGGGGAAAAAAAGAGAGAAACGGATATATCATGTCTTGGACAGGCGCCGTAAACGAGCCAATAACCATTTTAGCCTGCCAGCATACACCATGTGATTTGTTTCATGACATGGTCATATGTGCCGTGTAATAAGGTCCCCCAGAGTAGACGGACGGCTCATCAAGGAGATACAAGACTCTCTCGTAGTGATGAATGGCGATGATGATGGAAGCATAGCATCAACAGCATCACTTCTGCAAGTGTCTGCCGAGTGCCACTCCCGAAGCCTAGCTATCCGTCTGCCCATCCGTCCTTCCGCCCGTTCATGACCTAATAGCGAGTTTGAAATATCAGGACGAGGGAAGTTCCAGGAGGGGAGAGCTTGACTCTTGTCCTCAGCTCCGATCGAAAAAGAGGGCGTGTGTGTGTGGGTGGTTTTGTGGCCTGTGGCTTGCCCGGCGAGCTCGACGAACATATTGTGATCTCGTATCTTATCCCCTCGTTCCCGCTGAAGAAAACCCGCTCACTCAAGACATCCGACCAGTAGCGCCGAGAAAAAAGACGAGGAAGAGAGGCCCTGACAATGCGATCTCGCCCCCTCCCCTCGTCTTGCCCGTGTGAGGGAAGTCAGCGAGGAAGGCAAGAACACAAGAACGGGGTTTTCCCCGTATTCCACTGTGATATTCCCACTCTTTGATGATTCTTCGGGCTGCAACATTGAAAGGTGGTGTCTCTTGAGAAAAAGCAATAATCAACACCGGACCCCCCTCACCTCAGCTCGCCGAGTGGATCCTTGGCCCTGTTGCCCACTTCTCCCCTGCTGCCAGCTCCTCAGACCATATGCACCACCTTCCGCCCCCCCCCCCCTTCATGATGGAACGTTAAATCAAAGGTTTGTGATGGGAACTTCTCGATTCGTCGGGCTCGGATCACTATAATCCGCTGGACCTTCGTAAGATTGGGCTCGTTATTCTCTGCCTAACTTGCCAGGGCCAAGAGGGGGCGAGAGGTACCTAGAGATGCATCTGAGACACGCAGGGTCATTCTCACCTTCTGTGGTCAGGTGGCGCGCCAAAAAAAAAAAAAAAAAAAAAAAAAAAAAAAAAAGGGAACAAGGATGAAGGAGAGAAGAGGGGGAGAAAAAAACAAGAGAAGTTACCTTCCTCTCTCTTCCCAAGAAGATATTTTCAGCACTCAGCCTCGTTCCCAGCGTGCGTGACAGAGACAACTAGAGGGTCTAGTGAGTAGCTTGTGCGTAGCCGGGATTCCCGAGTTCCTTGCCTTCCAATATCACACATTATGTCTCAGAAACTCGCGATTTTTAATTTTGTTCACTTTCATTTGTTTTGGCCGCACGCCACACACACAGAGTAAAAGAAGAAGAAGAAGAAGAGAGAGAGAGAGAGAGAGAGAGAGAGAGAGCCACAGAGAGAGAGAGCTGCAAACCCAGAAAGCTTAGTCCTGATCAATGAAGAGTTCTGCTGACGTCTTGATGCGCCGATCCATTTTTACTTTTGACCGATCACAGACCGGTCTCTGGTGTAGCACGATGGCTGTCGAGGCTTTGACCGACCGAAATATAGACCGTGTAACCGACTATCAAATCGGTGATTGGTCTACCTTCAAGCAAACACTTCACAAGTGCATGGTTGGAGACTCTCCAGGTTTGTTACTATTTGATAAAATAAAGGACGACGAGATCCCATGTACAGACGATCCCCGAGGTCGGTAGTCATAATTCCTCTGCTATGATGGCAGGATGGGCCACCGAGGTCTAGACTCTAGAGTCAGTGATCGACACAGGGGGTGCTGGTACCCAAACTGCTGGGTCTCATACAGACACCTACTCTTCTGTAGTAAAGTAAAATACGCGGTAGACCGAGAGGCCAACCTCTCTGGCGAATCGTGGAGGCTATGCAGGCCCCTGCTTTTGGCTGTTGTTTGATGTTTGAGGGTCCTTCTTGCTCTCTGTTTGCACCTGCAAGAACCAACTCTTCCCTAGTCAATCCTTTGCTTTGGAAGTGCAGGACAGGTGCGCGGGGTCTGTAACACACAGCATGCAGTCATCATGCAGAATTTCTGAAACTCCTTGCTAGCAGACCTTGAGATGGAGGGTGACAATGTGTGTACGGAGTACTGCTAGTCGACCGACTCTCGTATCGAGCCGCATGGGAGCCGAGTATGGTCTGTCTTGCGCTCGCCACAGACCCTCGCAGCCTCTAATCGGGGGGAGGAGAGAGAGAGAGAAAGAGAGGTCTCGGTGCGGAAGGGTTGAGCCGATCTGCTCGTACGCAGTGTGTCTCACACACACAGTGGTTCGGTTCGGTGGAATTCTGCGTAATGGGTACGACGCCCTATCGATTTGCTATCCAGTCGGTACCAAGGGCATTTCCACAGGGTGAG